ATATTTCCGTTACAGCTATTGCCAATATATTTTATCATAAGCTGATTGCAAAAACTCAACATAAGAAACTTTGTTTCGCGCGCAAGGCGAACCCAACTTAATCCCTTGACATATATCAACTAGAAATAAATGCAATGCAAATGCACTTTTTCTCGAGTGTATAAATCTTTGAATGCGCGCGAATTACTTAAAGCAAAAACGGGCAAAGAAAACTTTTGCGAACAAGCTGAAAAGTTACGCCTATGCCAGAAGCTGCCAATGTTGCCAATATGCTCGGCCTCAAAGTGGTAAAAACACGCAGCAAAGCGCACTAAACCGCACCACCCCACACCATCCAGCAGAAACATGAACCCAATCTGGCAGCCGCCTGCTCAGTCCCAGTTCTTAGCTATGCAAAATAGCAACAAGCGAGCTGCGAACGCGGAAATTGAATCTAAAAGCTGGTTCGCCTTGTTGTACGTATTTGCTTGACTGCCATAAACTAGAGAAAAACATCAGCTCGGCAAGTGTAAAAACAGCGGAGCCAAGTGCTTGGCTAAAGTTTCCACCAAGAGTTTTTGGGGGCGTGTCGAGTAACGATTGATTTTCGTTCATGTGGAGGGCCTCTTTAGTTGTGTATTGTTTTCGCAGCAGCGGTTTTTTTTTTTAATAATATCCAGTCAACTAGGTCCTTGCCATACTATGATCTAATTTCCCAACTTGCAATTAATTAATAATAATATTTATTAGCTTTTGAAAAACGCAAAACAAGCCAATGCATAGGGCCTGCATGCCACTTTATTAGAATAGCGCTTTGTGCATTGTTGTTGCCGGCTTATTTACTTTCTAGCATTTTTCCAAGAATTTTGTTTGCCGCTATTGTAACTAACTTTTTCAGTTTTCCCTCAAAGCATTCCCGTTTCACTCTTTTGCTCACATCGCTTTTTTTTTTTTAAACTCTTTCGATTGCAACATGCCGCGAGCAGTTGGTCTTTTGGTCCTGCCATAAATAAAACATGAAAAAGTATTATGGTCGGAAATGCCAGACTAAGAGGTACCCTGTCTGCCTGCCTCCCATTTCCTTTTATACACATAAGCAAAAAGGAGGAAATATTGCATAGTTAATATTTTCTTCCTAGCATTTAATATTCCTCCTAGCTATTCCAATTGTACCTAAAATTATTGCTTATATTTACCTTATAGCATCAAATACAAACAGTTTGTAACATATTCTAGCAAGCGTTATAATACCCTTTGTGAAAAGTGTTGGGCACAGTGTTAATAAAAAATGGACACTAAGCCCGCTACTGTTTATTTTCAATTAATATTTTCGGAGAACATTTCATTGTCATTTAAAAATCTAATGATTATTTAACAAAATTGGATAGAGACGAGTTCAAAGAACATGCATTTTCCGTGCAAATATTGGATATTGCATATTTAATGGATATTGTGCACAAAGCGTTTACAGAGCCAAAAATGCCGCTGAGCTTATTTATCCATCCATATGAATTCTATTGTTACCGCCATTGTTGAAGGCTGAGTTTCCAATATTTCAGAACATTTGTAGGCAAATGTACTCATTAATAGATGGGCTAGATATGTTAAAAATTTATTCTTTTGCCACGTTCACGTACTTCATCATATTACAATGCACACACTTAAAGAATTAAATTAATGTTGGTAAAGAATACAAATAAAGAATATGCAAATTAAAAATTTTTAAATGTCACGCTAAGCTGGGACTGGAGCACATTGCGAGCATTAGTGACCTTTATTTTTCATAGAAATATCTAAAGGTTAATGCTTCTAGATGAATTCAAATGAAATCTATTAAAATGAGAAAATGTCTGCTGTGGTAAAATAAGCTACTTATTGAAATGGGTCCAGACGAAGCTTAATTGTCTGATGGATATTTCAAAGGACTTAAGTTGAGTGTAATAATCCTGCATAATTGTTTACATTATTTACATTCGAATTAAAGTTGATCCAAATCGATTGATTCTCAAATTTGCTGATTAGTGTAGGCGGCGGCATATTTGAAAGTCAAATTTAATTATTATTTGACCGGCAACTGTTTCAATTCCCAGTCACAATTGATCAGCTTTTAATTAGACACGTGGCCAGTGGCCAGCCTTGGCCTTGGCACGTGGCCCCACCTGACATACGCGTAGGAAAATTCCTTAATTTGATTTCAATGTCTACTTCACACAGTTTTATGGCACAGCCTTTACTTGACCTACGATTAAAGTTTCTTATGGAAATGTGGCTCGCATTTTGATGTCACATTATGAAGAATGGGCTGGGGCATTCATAACTCGTGCACGTTTCTGGCACTTTGGGAATATGATATGAAAATGGTTTGTCTAATCTTCGAAATGTCTCCAAGGCATCGAATTAAGTGAAAAGGGTTAAGCCACTGAGAACTGTGCGTATATTTTAGCCAACTTATTGCTGGTCACTGTCAGGGCTACGTGTGTCTGAGCCTTCTCTTTGCTCCGATGACAGTCACATTTTCCTTGGCAGGACAGGTCCGGCAGCTTGAGTGGGCCCCAAATGGACACAAAAATTAAGACACATTGACAGTTTGAAATGTGCCTAAATATTTCTAACGTTTTTTTCTTCACAATTTTTACATTTGTAAATGTATTTAGATTCAAGTTATACACACATAAAAGCAATTTATAAATTATTGAAATTATTGTCACTATGGTCAACCTTTTATCTGAAATGTGTTGATATTCAAGTAAAAACTAACCCTCGATCGATATGTTCTGTTAATGGACTTGCTCTTAAAATAAGTGTTCATTAGTCTATAATTAACTTTACTAAGAACAACTTGAAACAATTTTAAATATTTATAGAATGCATTGCCTCTGCCACATTAGTTGAAGTTAGAGATAAAAAATATATAAGCTCATTGGCAGAAGCAACTCAATAGGCTAATTGGCAATTAAAAGTACTGCACATAAGCTGCCAACTAATTCTCAACTTTACACTTGCTGCAACTTATTTGTGTTGCAATAGTTAACAGATTTTATTTATTCAAATACATTTTTCGCAACGTCTGGACGTTTGGCACATCGTTTTTGTACTCTGATATTTTTGAATTCTGGAACATGGACAGGACTTCGTTGCAATTAGCAGGAAACGCTGGGTATTCAGCAAATGAGGCAAAATCGTGGCATACTTTTCAGCGCTCGCCGCTAGTTGGTTGCCATAAGTTGCTCGCTCTAACTCTCTGCGCGCGTCTGTGTGTGTGTGTGTGTTTGCAAATACTTAAAGTGAAGACAAACCGTGTCAATGACATTTGACACGTGACCCTCTTTGGCACACACAAACACAGACCCAGGGAAGGCAACCATATAACCATAACCATAAACATTTAGCTCGAGCATCGCACTGAGCTCCAAGAGTTGACTCTGCTCTTGTTGTTGTTGTTGTTGTTGTTGTTGTTGATACTGTTGTAACTGCTGCTCGCTAGTTGGGGTCGTTCCAACGTGATTAGATGCGATTGTGTACGCAATTGAGCGAAATTGATGGCAATGCTATTAAAAGGTATGTCCCAGCCATGCATTCCCGTCCCCCACCATTCGGTCCGCTGCATTGGTTTCAGCTGCCATCGCCATCGTTGTCGCCGTTCATAATTAATTTTCTAGTGAATTTACTTTCATGGCATTTCGGTTAGCTAAATGTGGCCAATGGAAGCTAGCGAAGGCAGCGAGCCACATCCAGCTGCCTGCTGCCTGCTGCCAGCTGCCTGTTACCCGTTGGCTTGTAGCTGGTGTGGATACATAAAAGTTGCTTCGGCTGCGGCATTTATTTTAATTTGAAAACTATTTCCACGTCCCGACCACGCCTATACCTCCATCTTAATTTTGTGTGCCCATGGTTATGCTCATTATTTTCGCTTGACATTAGTTGGATTTTTATTACATAAGTCGGCCAGGCCGCATTGCGTATACGCAGCTTTGTACAACTGCCATCATTTTCATTATAATTTGTATATGGCGTGTGCTATTGCCCGGCTTGAATTTATCGAACGAGTTGGAGCGGTAAAAATCTGTTATAAATATTAGCACAGCGCTTTTGGCTTAATGGCAACATAATTGTAGGCTGTACTAGTAATCCACTCGGACATTCCGAAAATACGAACTAATATGCATGCCTCCAATACCCTTATAAACTAATATATAAATAGATTTATATTGATAATTTAGATTCCCAATCAGATTATAATAGAAAGAGTTCCTAATAGCATGCATGTGTTTATACAATTTGCATTTAGATATACCCTGTATATAGGCCGAATGTGTTATAATTTTCATAGTTCATCGTTGGCATCAAAAACAAGCATGGATTGAGAAGTGCAGAGCATAGTTATAGTTGCGATAGTAATACAAACTCTGTTGTTCATTATTTTACTTTCTCTTTGACACATTTCAAATAGTGCGAAATATTTTAAATAAAAGAGAGTGCATAACTTAATTACGTTTTATCTTCTGACATATTTTGGTCTTGACTTAAGTTTGTGTATTGTGATTGGACGCAGGTTTCGTTTTATTGTTAACATTCATTGCACCTTGTACACCTTATCCAGCGAGCACTGTAGTTTATGGCCCCAGTAATGTACCCACGATATCCTGTATGCAAAAAAGGGTATAAAAATACATATCTAAATAGTTAACGTAGTTAAGCTGGCAAATTATTTGCACGAAAATATTTTTGGCTTCAGGCTAGCTAACTTCCGGCCCAGCCCGGACGACTTTGCATTTGGCCATAGGCAGCTGGCAACTGGCAGTTGGGAGTTGCCGGTGGTCGATTGGCTGTTGGTTGCCAGAAGTTGGCAGTTGGCGTGTGTGGCGGCCATTTCGCTTGGGGCCCAATTGACTGGAGGCGCTACATGGGTGGACGCGAAAAAAAAAGGGGAAAGTTGAAAGCTGAGCAACTCCTCCTGTGGGTGCCAAACATTTGCGTTCCGTTCTGTTGGCGGCCCAAAAAGAACGATAACCACGCAGCAATTACCTTTGATTGGACACTTAAATTTTTCGTTTTGTTTTATTGAAACGTGATTTATGGGACTTGCTTCGGCACAAGGTCAGGCTGGTTTAAATAGCACGTAAAATTTACTATAGGCCACAAATAAAAGAGGAGGACTGGAAGTTGTCGGAATTACTTGGAAGATAAAACGGGGCGCAATTGAAATGGATCTGACGGCGTCTACTGTTCATGTATTTGGAGCTATATTCATTGGGTTATCCCCTTCCTTGGCAGGAGCAGGATTTCGCTCGAGAGCATGCTGTGCAATCTTGGCCTCAAAGAAAAGTTTTGCTCCGCTGACGCCCACCCGGGACACATTTACGGATTCTTTTCGAGCTTTTAGCACCAGCTGAGAGTTCATTAGATTGCCGGCCTTTGGCCTGTTGTTCTGAAGGATTGCTGCGTACGTAAGCAGAAACTGACAGAAGTTCATTCTTGTTGCCCGCTTGCCGACAATTTCTGCCATCAGCTTCTTTGCAGCCAGATGGGTCTGTGGCACCGATAGCTTCTCCAGAGCCAGTTTAAGCTCTGCCAGCTCAAGAAAGTTATCGCCGTTTACATCACATAGCTTAAAGACGGCAAACGCCTGACGTATCTCTTCGGGCTCAAAGAATCGCTGGGTAAACTTGCTCGCCGCATGTGGTGTGTCCTCTTCGCTGCTGTCGGTGAACTGCAAGGACCTTCTCTCTAGCACAACGCAGAGAGACAGACGCTTTGCAAGCTCTTCGGATTCACCAGTGGTGACGTTTTTATTCATGTCCAGCTTTGATGTCAGATCCTCCAACTTCGCTTCGAATTCATCTATGCCTCTGTTTAAGCTCATGGTCGACGCACTTTTCATGCGGTTTTTCCATGCCTTACATATGGTTTTAAACGATTCACAAGACGCGAATGACGAGACGGCGGATATGTCCGATAAATTCTCAAGCGAATTGCACGGACTAAGCGGCTTCTCCATGAAGCTATCACCGATTCCATGTGTTTCAGTTGACGGCAGGATGTTAAGTGCAATTGTCGAGGGGGAAATACCAGCGGAATCTTTCTCGATTTCAGTCGACATTGTGTTAACAGGGAATTTAATTAGCAGATAAAATATTTTGACCAAAAACGACTACAAGTTTTGTTCTGTTTTGTACAAAGTTAAAATATAGCAAAAATTTATAGAAAACGGGTTTGACATGGGAACTGTAAATGTATTTTAAATCAGTTTGGCCTGTTTTGTTATTTACTAAGCATTAACATAGAACATACATGTTCTATGGTTAGTGGCATAAATCAAAGAGGTTTTAAGCTGCGAAGTCAAGTTGGTGGATTTTAAGTAATCTATATACATTCGTATGCATCGCGCGTACTTTTAAGACAGAGACAGAGGCAGAGACAGACACAGATCTTCACACCAGACAGAGTTATCCACATTCACAAGGTGAGAGATGTGAATGGGGATCGTGCAATGTCCGCCTTTGTGTTTCCGCCTAGAAATATTGAAAAATCTTAATAAATTCGGCTTGTAGCCTGTTTGAAGCTGTAATTAGCCTGTGATAGAGTTTTAAGCAGTTGATTGTTTTTAATTGTTTTCAACATGGATTTTGTAAGCAGTGTGAAACACGCCTTAAATATATTTTCACAAAGCGCTTTGAATATTAGTTAGAATGAAGACATTAAAAGAAGTTTACTACAACAGCTTTTCATCAATTTCAATTCATTCATTTACAAAACATAATGAACAGTTTTCTGTTTGCTAACCCTTACAGCTTGGAGTGTGCGTCGAATCAGTTAGTAAGTCAGTATCAATTAGTTGGGACAAATAGTTTTCCATATGTAGATTAAGTTGTGTTTTTTAAGAGGTTTTTTAGCTCCGAGTTTATTTGACCACAACCTCAGTTAATTTAGCTTGGCGTGCTTGAGCACGTTTCCTAGTCGAATCAGGGACTTCGCTCTGTTCCCGTTCACGAACCGGCCAACTGCAAATTAATGACTGTGGAGTGTGTGCTTTTTGGGGACTGTTAACATGCTATGGCCATAAACAGTTAATTAAGCTTTTATTGGTAACTCTCTTTTTTGCGTTCTGACATTTTACGTTTTATTTGTCAAACAGGAGGCCAAAAAAGTGACGACCATAAACGGTCAGTTGCCCGAGCGACCAGCCGTATGACCAAATGCCAAGCCGCCTCGCTTATTTGCCTCGTGCCGCAAGGTAGGCTACGTTGTTTGCACACGGGCGGCTCCTCTCACCCGCCACCGTGAGGACGGCTGCTGAGTGGAGCTCTCGCATTTTGGGCCACGGTTTATTTATTCGCTCATTTCGTGTGCAAAAATATTTGGTGATAACGAGCCGTCGGCCCACAGCGGCTTGTCATGCTTAAACCACATTTATTTGCTGGCTCCACGGCAACAATAAAATAATTTTGTATATTCTTTTACACCAGTGAATTTTTGTAGGTTAGCCTGAGCCGGAGCCAGGCAGCGACAAAAAGTGTCAACAAAAAGTTGGCGGCATCGGCATTTAATTTACATTGCAAAGTTTCGTTTCGTTTCGTTTTGCGATAGTATTCAGATAATAAAATGCAGAGAACTGGAACTGAAACAGAAACAGAAACTGGAACTGGGTTAAGCAAAAGTGACTAACAATATAAAAACTATGGCTGCGACAAACAAACAGGCCAAAGGCCATCGCATAACATCGATAAGAAAAAAAGCCAAAAAAAGCTCAGCCTGCGAAAAGAACAGAGAAAGTTGCAGAAGCCCTTAATCAGAAGCCGATTTCAAGACGCACAACCAATGCTTATACACTGGCCTGTTCCCAGAGCCTATTTCTTGTTGATTTCGCCAATTACACGCAAAGAAAACTGTGCCAAGCCAAAGGAGTTTAGACACATTTATTTGGGATCTGAAAGACTTTTGAAGTCTGACGTTAGAGTCTGGTCGTGAGGTAAAGTTTAAGTATCAAAATTTAGAGCTAAATCTTATCATAGATTAAATTATATCTTAAGACTTGTTATTTTATTACAAAATTAATATATGGCCTAATGTGAATTCGATAAATCGTATTCGCATAACCCTAAAAATAATTTCGATATTTGAGAAAACTTTATAGTCAATATTCCACTTGCAATCCTTTTCTTTGATACTCTTATAACTCTTATTATACTAAATATTTCCTAAGCTATATTTACTTTTAAGCTACAATTTTAAAAATTTCGTTGTGTTCAAAATGTTGCTCCACTCTTTTTATAGGAATTTAGTTTTGCGAGTTGCAGCCTTGAGCCTACTTTTCGTGACGGCAGCAAGTTTTTGTTTGGAACAAAAGTGTCAAAACAACTTGGGTAGCATCAGTAGCAGTTATTATGGCTTTGGCAATGCAGCAGCAGTGGGTGCTCGAATCGATGCTAGCAAGAAAGTGTAAGTTGTTGATTTCTTATGTTAAGAGGTTGTCGGCCCGCCGAATTGGCTGGCAGCCAGGGAGCATTCGGGTTGGAGCGGATGTCGGATGCACTTCATAAAAAAACTGCAAATGAAATTGAAAGGCAGGCTGACGCCTACGAAAACTTGGCACATAAATTGCAGAAGGCCGATTGCAAAACAAATAAACTTTGACACTCCCGAGTGAACAGTGATAATAATTAATGATACGCGTGCTTTAATACAAAGAGGGAAACCTTTCTCAGACCTTTGCCGTTCCGTTTTCTTTTTGAGTAGCCCAATAAATCTCAATATAACTCAAGTGGACGTTACACTCTAAACTTTGACATTTGATGGAAGGATCTGCCTGTTGCCCCACACACACACACACACACACAAACACATACTGTCCAACGTGCATACCCTTAAAAACTCTGCAGCCATCGTTTGTCATGCTGCACGTAAGCTCAATAATTTTTTTTCTTTTAGATGAATGGAAAGCTGAAGGTCCGAGCGAACGGGCTGACCAACGCCCAGTTTTTAGCTGTATTCTACATATACATAGGTACATACCCTATACATATATATTATTTCGCAAACCCAAATTGATTACTCAAAATACTTCGAGCAAGGGGCGTGGGTTGGCAACGCCTTCCTTTAGTCTCCTTTTAAGTTGCCATTCTCCGGCTTTTTGTGCCTGTGGCTCATTGTGCGGCGACCTTTGGGTCTTTCTTTCTTAAATTTTCTATTTTGTTTTTGTGCTTGGGATTTTGCTTAATTCAACCCTTAAATGTTTTTACATTGCGTTTGCTTTTCTGCACTAAAAAAGCATGAAAATAGCATTTAAAAAAAAAATGTAGCATGTTTCTTTGCGTATTTAAACAACTACCGTACACGTGCATGCTGCATACATACATATACACATACACAAACATTATTCAACCAATTGACATTCAACTTCTGCCAGTCATGCAACATTTAACAGCCAGTCAAGAGTCAGGTAGGGTATTTTCACTAGTCAAGTAGAATTTCCTGTGAAGACAATATTATCTAGATGGGATATGAGCGACCTGTGAATCAGCTGATACGTGTCGCATGCGAATATACTAAATAAAAAGTTAAATATAGATGTAGTATATAAAGTTTGGGCGCTGAAATAAGAAGAAATTAAAATAAGGAAATTGACATCTTTTGTGGATTAACATGAGGTTTATCTGATGTTAAAATCTCTGATTAAAAGTAATCAGAAACGCGACGAAGCAATTAATTTATATATATTCACACAAAATGTAGATTTATGTTTTTCTTTATAGGTTGAGATACGTCTTAACTCTTTTTGCAATAACAATTAGAAACGCAAATCAGCCGCCAATTTATATACACACACACACCAACACACACATAGACGTATTTTATGAAAATGGTGCTTGACATTTGGCAGCGCATTAAAGACATAATTTCACATTAAACACAGGCGTGACTGTCCCAAGAAGCCAAGTCCGATGAGGCCATGTGCCTTGGGCGCCAATTGGACGCACGCGTCGCCAGTCGACGCGGCGGTGATTGTGATGTTGTCTTTCCAGCAGCAGCTCCGACAGCGGCCGCAAACATTAATAAGCCAATTGATGTTTTGTTAACCCACCAAAACGAGGCGATGGGCAAGGCAGTTCGTCATATTGCGACGCACCCTTGGCGCACACATGCGTGTCCCGGCTTGTCCCGGCGGATGCCGGCGGGTCCCGGCGTGTCTTGGCGCGTCTCAGCGTGTGCTGGAGCGCATTTATCCCGGCTGGCGCTGGGGCTAATTGCAATTTATGTACGCAATAAAACATTTGCCAAACTGGCGGGCATTCGGTATGCTGTCAAGAACGAAGCCAACGGTTGCCATTCGTTACGGCTTTTGGTTATAAATTTATGAAATAAAGAAAAAATGGCCATTGAATTACGAATGAACCGAATCGGCGACCAACAGTGGGCAGTCCAGCCACTTTATTAATAAAGCGCCATCAGTGTGGGGCTCGACGTCTGTCCCCGGAGTAAGGAGTCAATTGAACCCCATTCGCGCTGTGCAAATAATCAGAAAAATTGATGTTCAGCTTGTTTGCTTGCCGTTCCACTGATTGGGTTAACTGAAATGTAATTTGGCCAGCAGCTCCACAGCACCACAAGACCCATCGCAATCAGCAATCTGCAGTACATTACAATTTTACAGCACATCATCAATATATGCATACGGCTTATGAGTGCCAGAAGCACAGTAACACACATTTGTGTAATGTAATATTTAACTGCCGCAGTCGTTACGCCTGCAGCTAAGAACTTGGACATTTTTCTATATACCAAAAACAGGTGAGCCGAATCTACTAGAAGCTCATGTGATGCATTCAAAACACCCTTCCAATGGAAATTGTTACTTCATGAAATCACGTTTGAGCTTAATTTATCTATATCTATTAAATATTTTTATCAATATGATACGTATGTAAAAATGTCACATTCATTTTTATCAAATCCTTACTTTTGTTGACTTGTGTGCATTTTTGTATCCTGTTTTTTTGTAAATTAAGTTTATATTGTTTGATATTTATTGATTATATAACTTTGTTATTTTCCAAAACAAGTTTGAATTATTATTTGTGTAGTGCGATAAAACAAAAACATGTTTCATAATTTTATTGTTATATGACAGTTGCAAAAGTGTTAAGCGGGTTATGTTAATTTTTTTGGTATATTAGCAATTAAATAAACATTGTTAATTTGTGCGAATAGCTATTCTTTTAACTCATTTGA